GTCAGAGACCTCGGAGCGGCGTTTTCGAACCGGACTGTTTGGTAAACCGGTGGAGGTAACTACCTGGCCACTGTGCCGGGTTGTGCGGCGAGCTTCATGTTGCTGAGTCTTCATAAGAAATTTAGGATCCAAATAAGCAAGAGGATGAGAAAATTTAACTTTCCGGTTTGCCTGTCAAAATTTTGGCAAAGGCAAGATTTCTGAATCAGAAGAGAGAATAGTTACCTCAACGAATTCCGCATTGCTGGCTTCAGCGTCGTCCTGACAAGCATCATCATCAATAAGGCGTGTAAAAAATAAGCCAAGCGAGTCAAGTTCTACCTCAAGGTCCGGGTTACCCACATCGTCATCAATAGCTAGATTAGATGAAGCGGTGGTTTTTCTCTTGTGAGCTGGCTTCTTGATAACCTTGGTCTTGGGCCGGATTGGCCGCCCTGCCTTCTCCGTTTTGTCTTGCGAAAGCTTCTTGCTCCAAAACGGATTATCGCCCTGGATCAGCAGTAATTAAATGTCAAACAGATAAAGCAGTAATCGGTTCAACAATAGAGCAATTAAAATCTTACCGCTGGCGGTTTGTTGGTGGTGCAGTAAGGAGGCAGACCGGTTTGAGCACAGAGGTGCTCCGGTTCATTCAGCATCTTTTTTACAGATTCTGTGACTTCATCATCGGGGAGTTGGATTTTAGTATGTCGGAGTGGGTCATCGACACTATCAGTATATTTGCACATCAAACTGGAGCGCCGGCTCAGAGGCAGTATGCTCCATGATATCCAACAGCGTGCAAGATCTATACCCGTTAAGCCGTTGGCCATGAAAGCTCGGAGCTTGGACAGTTGCGGAGCGTATTTAATTCTTTCCTTGGCGCTTAGTCTTTGTGGAAAAGGGTGCGCGTTGCTGAGCCGTTCCGGACGGAAGCCAGGCAAGGGATTTTCATTGTCAGGGGAGGTATCCTTGCAATAAAACCAAGTTGCATTCCACTCCTTGGGGTGAGTATGGAGTTTGACGTGGGGATAAGTGACCTCCTTCCTCTTCTGAATGGCCATACCACCCAATTCAGTGTTGGGGCCATCGGTGAATTCAGTGCGACGGTTTAAATGGAAGAGGTCTCTAAACAACTCAACTGAAGGCTCCTCTTGAAGGTATACCTCAGAGAGCACTTGAAAGTGGCATAGATTGGTAACAGAGTTGGGGCCAATATCCTGTGGACGGAGCTGAAAATTGGCTAACACATCCCGGTAAAATTTAGAGTCGGGCGGTTTGAAGCCCCGGGCCAAGTGATCTGCGAAGACCACAACCTCTCCTTCCTGGGGGGTGGGAGGACATTCATTTCCAGGAACCCTCCAGTGGATCGTATCTTTACTGTCTAAAGCGCCGATCAAGACTAGATCGTCCAACTGTGATTCCGTGACGCGAGAAGGAACCCAATTGCACTCATACACTTGTTTGGCCATGGCGAGATCTACAAGAAATAGGTGATCCGGTTCAAGAACACGCTGGGTAAAAGAAGGTGTTGATCTAAACTACGATAAACCGGAGGCAGTACCTATAAACCGGTCTTCCACAATGCGGCATCATGTGGATTCTGGCGGTTCAACCAGGGGACTAATGGTACATACCGGTTTAGTAACTTTTTTCTATGATAAGTTAAACCGCTTGATCTAAGCATCGGAAGATATTGAAGCTATGGATAACTCGGTATGCAGAAACAAGTTTCACATGATCTTATCACAGCCGCGGATCTACAGCGAGCTCACAAAAACAGAAAATATTCCGAAGAGTAAGGCAGAAACAGAAGTGAACCATTGAGCGGGTATGTGCGAGAGATATATGGACTTAGATGAGAAACTACAGGTGGATGCTTAAAGACTACTACTAAACGCAGCAGGGATTCACAGATTCATTCAAGGTCAGAAAACAGGTATGAGCATGCGACGAACACAGCACGAACATGGAACCCTAAGAACAGATCTAGGTCAAGAAGAGGAGAAAGCTTACCGGGAACGAAGAAGATGCGGAAAGATGCCGCAATGCTCTGGTACGTTCAGGTGGATGCAGCGGCCCAAGACGAGGCAGAGGTCGACGGCGGTGGCGGAGCTCCAAGGCTGGCGACGCGAGGAAGACGAAGAAGAAGGGACGAAGGGAAAGGGAAAGAAATGACCCTTCGGTCTTATTTATAAGGCAACAGAGCTAGGTCAAGCGCGCGGATCCAGGAACTATTGTTAAAAGAGGGCGTTATAAATGATAAAATTTCATGATGACGTCATGCCGGCTTACAGCAACCAGAAATGATGACGACACGGCGGTTTACCAATTACCCGAAGATGTCCAAAACACCAGATTTTGTGAGGGATTGACATGAACCAGTTCAAATCAATCTGGGGCCTAATGTTGGGGATATTACCACCAGGCGTGAACCGACCTGCTTGGGCCGGGATAACTTCATTAGTGGTATAAACAGATGAAGGCCCAAGGCCTGTAGCCGGTTCAGAACCTGTAGGCGTAAACCGGCCTGATGTGTAACTTGTATTGTAAGTTAGGAACAGAGAGATACCAACCGGGATACGAGTATGGACCGGTTGGGACTCTATGGACCGACGGGCGTCACCCGTGTATATAAGGGGACGACCCGGCGGCGGTTCAGGGGACAACGACAACTCGAGTCTAGGCGAAGCTTGTTTGCTCCCTAGCCATCGAGACCACATCAATTCCATCGCAACTAGACGTAGGCTTTTACCTTCATCGAAGGGGCCGAACTAGTATAAAACCCTCGTGTCTTTGTGTCCGCTTTAACCCCTTCAAGTAAACTCGTAGCGATGGCTCCACGACTAAGTCCTTTCGCTAGGACATCTGCCGTGACAAATCCACGACACCGTCCATTAGTTCTTGTTCTTGAATTTGTAACTCCATTTCAAACTGTGAGTTTGTCGCTCCATGTCCAACTGATGTGTGATCATCGTCAAGGTTCACGTGTCGACGGAGTTGATCCAGTAGCAAATTCTTGGTGGCTTATGTTTGCTCTTATTCCAATTAATAAATGCATATTTTACTTTATATATATTTTTATACATATCTCAACTTATATGACTCCGGTACAAAATCAAGCTATTTACAGGCAACAATATATCAACTTTTATTTATGTCGACCTTAAAAAGGTTTCAACCAAAAGGGTTGAAATCTTCTTCGATGTTTACTGTGTCAACGTCAAAGGGTCAGAATCTTCTAAATTAATGTTGATAACTACTTGATAATTTGCTTACACGTGAGCATTGAACTTTCTAGTGATGGACGTAGGGATTTGTTCTACACTAATGTCCTGTAGGAATATTAACATACCATGTTGTTATGCTTGCTCCATTTCGCGTTGTTTGTTGTTTAGTGTGACTGTCATCTCGCAATATTTGTGCCTCGAGAAATAAGAGTAAAATGTAACGAAACTACACTTTTTTTATATTTAGCAAGGTTTGGCCTTGTGAAATTTTATGTAGGTATAAGAAGTGTAATCCTATGAAATGTTATTCTAGATGTTTTTTTAGCTCATGCTACTGTAGATGTTGAATGACCTTCAAATAACTTGTTCAATTAGGGTAGAATATTATTCAACTCTATTAACTATTACCTGAATTTTTCCATATGAGTACATGAAAAGATCAAGCTTCATTTCATCCTACAGTTGATCTACACCACAAAGAAGATTCAGAGAGGTTCTGTCCATTTATTGGTGTATCCCTTTCCCTTAACAATGGTTTTGTGTTTGTTTTTTACCTTTCATAAGGAAAACAAAGTTTTTTTCCTTTTTCTGACACATCCCTTTGAAAAATCTTGTCCCTACAGTGTCCAAGAATTGGACTTGCTATCTGGGGTACATGCGAAAGGGATGCTTGGCCTTTACACCATTCCCAGAAAAGAAGATAGTCTCCTAGTCTTCCTGAATCTCAGCCGTCTAACTGTCTTGATCTGTGATCTAAACTCATTGATCCCATCACAGAAACAGGCCCACGTTTAATGAAGCTCAATTAGGGTTTGGGCATCTGCACCTGCACCTTGACGGCTATTAATAATCATAATCCTATATCATGGCATGGAAGTACCCAGCTTTATTATGCATGGACCAAATTTTATTACTCCTTAGGACCACCTGTTCACACATACCCAGTAAATTTTCAATGCTCCAGTTAACATCTGTGCTAGCAATTTGACAGCATGTGTGGACAGCATGGTGCCAGATTTTTCAACAATTCAGTGAGCATCTGTATCAGGGCCATGCTGTCGATTTTAACGATAAAGTTTTACAGACCTTGAGGAAGAAGAATTTTGTAAACTGCGTTTGCGAAAACGAAGAAGATAACCCAGATATGGCAGAGAATTCAAGAACGAACTACGGCGGAGGTCTCATGGGAAAGAGAGGCACATCAGATGTTGATTGGCGATGGATCCATGGCATTTTGCTGCTAGGAAGAGAATCCTTTGAAAATGCCAGCTGAAATGTCCTTTTTCTGCTAGGTTTTGGCATTGTTGGGCCTTTTTGTTTCTAGTTGGACTTCTCCTTGTCCTCACACAACAAGATTGGGTTCTCTCTGGTCCACACAGGATGTACTGTTTGCACCACGCAGCTTTAAAAATAGACAGCAATTGCAGGTTTCTGAAGGAATTGCATGCATACATTGCATTTGATTCTTTTCATAGAGAAACATCACAGTGTAATTTTGACCTGGCAGAAATTCATGATTGGTGTCCTCCTTTTGATTTTCTCAGAACAGTGGGAGCCTTGCAATCGTACTATACAACATGCTACACCTATCCAGCAGCAAGCAAGAACAAAACAAATTCCGAATTTCTGTTTCCAAAAGAATGCATTCAGAATTTAGTATAACCCTTGTGCTATTTTTGTTGAAGCAAAACCATTTATTGACGCGACTACAAAATTATGTACAGTAACTAGCTTGTTCGTCTTAGTATCCACCCATCCATTTGATTTCCCCCCTCTGGAAGTATTGGACCTTCAGGAAGCCAGTGAAGTCCTGGGGCAGTTGTCAACGGAGCAGGCAAGGACATCTCGGTAGTCGCGCGAGATCGTGAAGTGATCGTACACATTGCCGTCACGGCTCTTCTTGTACTCGAACAACAAGGATGAATGATTGAAAGCCGTGAGCTTGCCGAAACCGTGATCGAAGTCTCTGAAGTGACTCCATTGAATCTTTGAAGTGATGAAGTCTGAAAGGCTGGCACCGGCGCCACCGACAACCACATGCGTCGTTGCCTGGAACGGGCCACTGTAGTGATTCGATGCGTTAACAACACACTGGCTCTGCAACAAATCACAGATTGCAATCAGGCTTGTGATATTGTAATAGGAATGTAAACCTGAGCCTGCAAAACCGCTAGTTTTGTACTGTAGCATTACCGGCAATTGTACTTTATCAGATGCTGCCATAGTAGTATATAAAGGAACTTTACTTTTCCATCTACAAAATTACACGATTTGATCTCATGCAAATGCTAGTTAGGGACACACCTGGTACACCGGACATGTCCTTTCATAATTGTGGACGTGACCGTAGAAGGCAAGATCGACTTTGTACTTCTGCCAGAGCTCTTGCAGCGCTTCTCGTCCCATCGGTTCCTCAAATGTGCCTTCGAATCCATAGTAAGAGTTGGATGAGTACCCTAGAACACGGTGTGCAAGGAAGATGAGCCATGGCTGCTTCTGCCTGTCAACAGACGACAGGCAGTGCTCGATGAACTTGTACTGCTCGGTCCCTGGCCTCCAATCTTCTTCTGTGTGAGCAATGCAAAACCTGAACATGCCATAGTCAGTCGCGTACCTACAGAAGGATATACGTTGTGTCAGCAGTCAGCAATTGTTTTTCTTAAGACAAGTAAACTTCAGAACTCTATATGAAGGAATTTGTATGCCCATATTTAACTACCACGATTACCAAAATTTTGCACGGTTCTCAGCAGGAGTGTAGAACACAGTTTGTGCTGGAACACCACATTCTCCACCAGAGTCAAGATTTCCATAGAAGGAACCAGTTCCAGGCCAGTCCCTCTCATGATTACCGCTGCGAAAATGCTAGATCTTTTAGACATTAAGCAATATATGGCAACAACATATCGAAAGTTCTTAAACTTCATACTGAACAGACCTGCCAACCATGTATGGCACAGTTGAAGCAATCGGTTCTATCTGTGCAGTGAACTGATCCCACTGCGACAAATAACCATTCGCGTAGCAAATGTCCCCGATGTGGACCACCATGTCGATGTTTTCCAGGTCTCTAATGATCTGGTTAGTAGTGTTTAGCGAGCCTGGCTGGAAGTTATTGTACTCGTTGGAACCATCTGCCTCTGCCTGAAGAAACTTGTCAGAAAAGAAGAACCATTGCACCGGCAAAATGCCCAAATTGCTATATGAATCAAACTAGGATAGAGATGGAAGAACATATATCTACCTTCCCCATGTCCCCAAATATGACGACCCGTTGCAAAGAATCTTGTCCAGGATAAGGTGATGCCTTAAAGCTATATGACTTACTCCAGACGCGGGTACCATTTGGTAATCTATGGCCAAGCCTGTAGGTGTACCTGCAATGTTGCAGCAACCATGTTCGCTGAGTACCTGGATGGATCCTTATTTCAGAAGGGGCTAAACAGGAAAAAAAGATCACATACATCGAGTCTGGCCACAAATCCTTCAAGTAACTAGTATGAATGTAACCAGGATGGCGCCAACCAACAGTTCGTGCTGGTGCACCTGCATTTGAATTGTATATGCTTGGTAAATGCTGCATGTGGTACAATATAGCAGATCCTCATCTCTATTTACAATCTTAAAATCTCAAGTTTAACTAGCTTATGTTCATCTCAAAGAGAACACAGGGAAACAGAGGCATACTGCATACCACACATGCTGTTTCTGTCAAATGTCAATGTCCCGGCTGGAGAAAGGAACCGGCGTCCCCCCTTTTCACCCCATTCAACAAAAGGAACTGCTTCTTTGATGTCATATCCACTTGTCCAAGTGACTGTCATCTACAATGGTACTAATTCAGTCACATTCTTAGGTTTGTGAACACATTTATCAGGTAATAGTGTAACACATGTTCTTTTTATAAAATGTAGGTTCTTATCGAAAAGATGTTTCACATTTGGTTTGAGAAATAGCACATCCTAATACAGTCTCAGTTGCAGATTGGTAGCAAAGCTTACTTCGTTCCAAGATTTTCCTTGCGCCAAACGTGGGTAGACAGGCGCCTTTGGGTTCACAAACGTCACCTTGTTTGAGACAGCAATCAGCTTCGGCTGTGACCAAGTTGGTAAAAAGGATTCAGAGTTGAGAAATATGAAGAAATGTTTCTTCAGAATAACAGCGGAGTTGTTGTTCATGCAGACAAGTTCAGAAACTACTACAGTACATTTTTACCTTCAAGAGACCCCCAGAAAAAAGTGCAAATGAGAAATCTTCTCTCTGGTTGATCAGCTGAAGCTTCAGATAGCCCTTTCCAGACTTGCTATACCCGTCATTCTTGAACTTTGCAAATTGGTACTGCGATAAAAGAGCATGGAGACCTCAAGGTTCAGAACGAAAGTCTTCCAACAGACATTCGACATAGAACCCAAATCTCAGTTGAACGGAACGGGAAAAGAATCGGCCAACCTTGATAGGTGCTGTGCATAGCACTGGGGGATATTGCCTCTTATTCTCAGGCCCAAATCGCGGCACTGAAAATTTGCAAACAAGAGAAACAGAACAGAGTCAAATCCTATGCTTTGCCATTTCAAGTACTCCATCTGAACTGATTTTTTTCTGAACTTGGGACAGAAGAATTCTATCCAAAATATGTCTGAATGCATTAAGTTCATGCTGAATATGTCCGAAAAAACTGTTGAGTTTGTTCTGCAATTGCGTAACGTGTAAATGTGGATGATAAGTAGTAGCAGAATAGCCAATACTACTGGACTGCTGTTACCTGAAATTGGCAGGAGAGAAGACTCCGATCCAGTCATCGCCGGAGGGGTCGGGATGGAAGAACTCCACCTCCACCCATCCACTGTACTGGCCCTCCAGTCCAAGAACCGCAGGGGACGCCTTGACGTGCGCCGCGTCGTCGACGGCGAGGGTGGTCCTCTCGACGGCGATCATCGACAGCGGCTGCTCGCCGTGGGCCGCCGCGGCGGAGCAGGCAGCCATCCATGTGACGGCCGCCACCCATGCCCACGGCCTCATGCTCTTCCCACCTTCAGAAGTTCAAGAAAATCCGAACCGAGGAATGATTCCGGGAAAAGGCGGCGGCTTCAGGGTCTTCTCGGAGCGAACCAAGAAAGAAAGGGACGCGGATTTATATCTCCAACAAATCATTGAGGTGTGCTGACACTGGAGACTGCGGGTAGATACGGGAGAATATTCCCAAGAAACCGGATTCGCGAGGGAAATGTGGCACCGGAAACGCAGACTGGAAAGGGTCGCACACTTGTACTCCCTCCGGTCCTCGTTAGTTTGCGTATTAGAAAAAACGATTTTTCCCTCAATGCTCTGCGTACTAGCAGGTTTTGGCACTTCTTTCCAATTTTGCCCCTCCTTTCCAACTTCGCATGCGTGCCTGCAGTTACTCCCGTCTCTCTCTCCCATGCACGTCCTTCGCGTCTTCCCAAGGCAGCCAGACGCCTACCTCTTCCTCTCCTGCCCACCGGTCCCATCTCAGCTTCCCATTCTCCACATCCCACTCTCCCTTCTCCTCCACATCCTGTACATCTCCATGGATGAAATCCATCCATCGTGGTTGTGGGAGGACATCCAGCCTGTAGAGGATAGCGAGACCATGGATGAAAGCTTGCTCGCGGAGGACAGCTTGGTCGCGGAGGACAGCGAGCTGTACGTGGAGGACAGCGAGCTCGCGTACGGAGGCGTGCTCCCCGCAGGCGGCGCGCTCGCGGACGGTGGCGCGCTCCCCGCAGGCGGCGCGCTCGCTGACGGTGGCGTGCTCCCGCTCGCAATGGGCGGCGCATTGCATTCCCGTGGCAAGAGAGAGAGAGGAGCAAAGAGAGGGAAGTGAAATTTTTTTGTGGTTTGCTTCATGGCGGGGCCTGAGTTTTATAGGCAGGATTTTTGAGTTTCAAAAGCATTGGCGCCAAGCTAAATCTAGAGCTGCTAATCTATGGCGGGCTGTTCAGTTTAGGAGGGAGCTAGAATTCTTGGCGCAAAGATTTCATACTCAAACCAAACGAAATTTTTTGGCTCCAATTCCTCCAGCTTCAAGCGCCTGCTGCTCTTCCGGTTCATAGGCTCATAGGCCATGCAATGGGTGAGAGATTGACGCGGATGCTGAGAAGATTTTGCATAGAGAGAGACGCGTGCATGCATATCAAGAGAGAGAGAGAGCATGCAGAGAGAGATGCATGCAAGGAGAGAGAGATGCGCATGCAGAGAGATGGAGAGAGAGGAGTACGTGGGCATGAGAATAAATGCCTGCAAGCCAATCGTTCGCATGCGCATGCAGAGAGTATTTAACTACCCAGCCTCCCTTCCGTATCAAACCAGGGGCAAAACAGTCCGATTTTTGCTGCTTTCTCCTCTCCTTGGTATGCGGGTTGAGCATAGAACGCAAAGAAAAAAGCACCGGAGGGAGTATCAGTAGCCGTTTGACTGTTAGGGCCAGTTCTTTTGAGCTGTGGCTTGTGCATAAGCTGCAGTTAAATTAAGCTCGTGAGAAGCTGCAGTGAGAATAAACTCCCTTGGAATAAGCCATCCAATTCTTTTCTGTTTCTATTTGTTTAGCATATTTTCTGATAAACTAGTGAAAAGTTCATAATATCCCTTGAGGCATCGTTATGTACGTGGATTATTATTTGCATGGCCGCATGGGACAGGGACGTCTTGTTCTGTTGGCTAAGCGGTGGCAGTTTTTTCGTAAATACAAGCAACAAAAAGGGCAAGGAGAAATACCGCTTCACTTTTTAAAGGGTTGCGCTCGGGAAGCTGCCCATCGTTGGCTTATCTCAAACGTGAAGGAAGCGGCTGCCGCTGGAAATTAAGCTAATCACAGCTAAATGAGTTCTTTTGGGCTTGAGCTTAATATTCGCCATAAGCCTCCCATAAGCTGGAAAAGAACTGAGCCTTAGTCAGTTAGTGCAAGAGCAACTCCAGAGCGGCGACCAATTTCGACTATGCACGTTCGTTTGGGTCGGCAGCATGGACAAAAAAATCAGCCCAACGAATCGATTCAAACCGATGTGCGTCCACTTTTCTTCCGCCTGCCGATCCATTTCCGACCTTCGAGTCTCATTTGCGTCGGTGTAGACACAAAACAAATGCGCGTGGTGACCGCCTACTCCTTCCTCTCACCCGCTAGTCGGTGGCACATTGGTCATCCTCTTTCATTCCAACAGCAAACCCTCGCTCGCCTCCTTCGTCGACGCCGCCACCGCCCATTTTCCGGTGCCTCTGCCAGCTGTCGGTGCCGCAACATCCCCCTCCTCCAACGCCGCCACCTCCCACGTCGCCGCCATCATCGTCTCATCGCCGGGGCTTCGAAAGCTTCCCACCCCCACCTCCCTGACACAGCTGTGACCAGGAAGCCGCCTCGCCGCCCCGACAGCTCCTTCGTCCTGACACCGGCACGCTCATCGGACGCCGCTAGGGTAGCCAGCTGGTCTAAGGGCGACGCGACTCCCTTCGCCGGCCGGCTCCTTCGTCGGCGCCCGCAAGCTATTCGAGAGTTTACCAAGGTACAAAATATACTCCGCCGACGAGTTCTTTTTCCATAATTTCCTTTGTGACTCCGATGATTCCTCTTCTGATGTGGAGGAGGAGATCTTGGCTGCCGTTTTAGTCCATCACCACCTCAATAGCCAGCGAATGTTGTTCCATGGCTCCATTCCGAAGCACCTACCTGCGTTGAATCGCAACCGAGAGAGCGGGCATTTCCTTCTTTGGAAGGACTACTTTGACACAACGAACTCATTGTTCAAACATCAGAAATTCCGGCGTTGTTTCCGCATGAGTAGGCATCTTCTCAACCGTATTAGAGAGGGGGTGATCGGATATGATGACTATTTCAAGTGCAAAGAGGATGCCTTTGGAAAGATTGGCTTCTCCTCTTATCAGAAATGCACTGCAGCCGTCCGGATGCTTGCATACGGAGTGCCTGGTGATCTCATTGAGTACGTCCGTATGAGTGAGTCTACATGCCTAGGCTCCATGTACAAGTTCTGCAGGGTTGTGATTGCTGCGTTTGGCCCTCAATACTTGAGAGAGCCGACTCCTTAAGGTACATCCCGCTTGTTGGCTATGAATGCCAGCAGGGGCTTCCCAGGGATGCTTGGTAGTATAGACTGCATGCACTAGGAGTGAAAGAACTGCCCTTCTGCTTGGCAAGGACAATGTAAGGGCCATGTCAGGGCTTGCACTGTCATACTTGAGGCCGTGGCATCACAAGATCTCTGGATCTGGCACTCTTTCTTTGACATGGCCGGATCACACAATGATATCAACGTGCTTCGACGCTTGCCGGTGTTTGCAAGGCTTGCCGAAGGCAACATCCCACCGGTGAATGTTACCATCAACGGTGTAACATCTCAATTTTCAATTTGAATGTTACACATAGGTCATCATATGCATATCATATTTTTTTTGCATATTTGGTTGTGATCCTAGAAATCTTAAGCAACTCAAGGACCCAAGGAGAGAGTTGGAGATTTCATAATTTTTCATATTTGAATTTTATCAAACTAGAAAAGGGGATCATTTTGATTTTAATATTTTTCTCTCCAATTATTTCCAATATTAAAAATAAAAGAGAGAAGATAATATGACTTCTTCAAAAGAAAAGAATATTGGGGGAAAAATTTAAAATCAAACTAAAATTTTATTTGGACTTTATTTGCTATTTTATTTGAATTTAGGAAAATATGCATTTTTGAAAATTGCATTTTTAGGCCAGAAAAATGTTCACTTTGATCTACACAATAGGTTTAGACGGTGAAATTGTTTCTGGTATTTTTAGAAATTTTTTAATAATTTATTAGGATTTTCTTGGGGCGAAATTTTATTTAAAAAAAGTTTCCTGCCTGACTGGGCCGAAGCCCAGTCGAGCAGGCCGGCCCGCCAGGCACCGCCGCCTTCCTCCCGCGCCGCCGCACGAACGCCGATGAGTCTGGCTCGGACTCCCCTGGCCGCCCCTCCCACAAGGCAGCCCCCCTCACCCTTATAAGCCGCCGACCCCCGCCACCTCCTCACTTCGCCTCGCCGCCGCAAGCCCCGCACCACTGTCACCCGCCGCCAGCGCCGCCCGCCGCCGCTTCTGTGCGTCTCCGCCGCCGCTTGCGCCGCCCGCCGTCACTGCCGCACCTCGCCCGCGGCACTGCACCGCCGCCCACGCAGCGAGCCGCCGCCGCCGCCCCTGCCTCGCCCGTGCTGGAGCCACCGCCGCTGTCGTTGACCACCGCCCCCGCCGAACCGGTAAAACCGATCCCGGTTTCTTCGGTTTTTTCCCGGTTTATCTTCCGGTTTTTTAGAAGTTAGGGTTTTCTTTCGGTCTTCCGGATGGATCTAAAGTGCGGACGTTCGTCTATTATTACTCTGTAGCGAACACATTCATTCATTAGGGTTTCATAGCGAACGTTCGTGCGTTAGGGTTTTTCTTTTATTTTATTTTCGGCCAGGGATCTATCCACGATTAATTTTATCACAGATCAGTCCCTGATCTTCAAACCCTCGCAACTTTTTGCTCGCTTGTGCAAACCCAGTGAAACCAATGCCAAAATCTTCGTCTTGTTCCCCTTTTTCCAAATAACCTACTTGAACATGGTTTTGACAATTTAAAATTTGGTTGCAAGCAGATTTGAATATGAACTTCTTTTTGTCGTAGTTTGAGTTTCGTAGCTCCGATTTGGTTGATTATTTTTGCAAATCGAAGCTCTTTGGTTGAACTTTCAGTTCGGATCTTTTCATTTGAGTTTTACCCTTGCATCTTATGCTTGATTGCTTATGTATGCTATTGTTTGTTCAT